AAGTATGTGATCGTTTTGAGATAGTTGATAGAGTTACGGTCGTTGAAGGCGAAAGGATGGCGTTTTCTGTGCAGTAGAGTAACCCCAAAGAAACTGAGGGTAGATCAGGTCCAGCTGTGCGCTGCACATTTCAGTAAGCAGTAGTAGCTGAACCTATACTCCGTAGCTCTTGACAGACAGCCATAGCTTCCATAGCTGGAAGGCATTACACGAGTCTACCAGTCATTCAATTGCTCCACTGCTAATAAAACACGCGCGTGAAGGGTAATAAAAGTTTCGGGTGCTCGACTATATATTCCAGAATTTATAATCTTGCTGGCTGTGTTGGAAGAAAACACATGGTCAGTTTGAAGCGAATGAGTTCCAATGACGGGCTGCTTGATCCGTATCCCACCTTGCACTGCATAACACAAGAGTACTTACGGTTGCTCCGAAGTAATATCGACTAGGTTGGGTTTGAAAACCATGAGTTTACTGCCTATTTGGAAGTTTCTGTGCCAAATATAATTACGCATTCCATGAAAGTTACGCCAATTACTTCTTATTAACAAGTGGAACAAACGATACTGAAATCCGGAACTCAAGAGATTACTGATGCAAGAATGTGCCAATCACTTGTTAAAATTATATCTCACCATACTTCGTTAATATTGCCATTTTCACGACTAAGGTGCACTTTCTGTGCTTGCGTACTTGTGCCATTCACACGACATCCTAGCTTATTTCTTGACTGGACTGATCATGCGGTGCCCCACGGATGCCAAGCAATAATTAGCATAAGCTTACGAAAATAAGAAAGCATGCAAGTAATCAAGTAGTGAATGTTTCGCCAATAAAAACAACTGCACCATGAATTTGAGTTTTTCTTTTAATCCATGTCTCGAACTTCTTATTGCTGTTTGAATGTCAGTGAATCATAGCTTCAGATAATTTGCGCCATTTGCACAGTTCCATTACAACTTTAGGCTTTTGTTCTGTTTTATTTTTGCTAGTTGCCTTTTTCTAATAAGTTGAGGCCTTATTGTAAGGTTAATTGAAATTAAAAGACTAGTATGGTTGTTATTTTGTTAATTAAAGCGCTTTGTTGTAGTTCCATATTTCTTGCTTTGATGTATTGGGTAATTGTCATTCGGCTAAGAAGTTTTTTTGTTTCATTTAAAAAAAGCAGTTCTGCTTATCTCAAAATCAATAAATATCTAAAAATCAAGAACATAATAATATACCGGTGGCAATGGTGAAGTGAGGTAGATTTTGATGTTATGGTTTCTGGAACTTATTTAGGAATAATCATGTGAAATATGTATCGATAATTGACCATGGGCTAAATCAGCAATGTTTCGGCCAAGCAGCTAATCTTTGAAGTGCATCAGTTTGCACTGCTCCTAATCACTGTAATTGTGAGGTTATTTGTATTGTTTTTAATGTTTAGGGTCACTTTAGCAATTAATTTACCTCTTTTTACTCGTGTAGCTTCCTCATGTGCCAGTTCTCATAACAGAGACTATGTTCCTTCTGCACTCGATTTTCTTAGGTTCATCTTTTGCCATGGGCCAAACAGGCTCCGTATCCGATTCTTCTAATCTTCTTGGTAATGGAAAATTTTGTAAGAGTTTTCAGAGATGCATGACCATGCAAGATGGCTAGATGTCTTATATCCGCCTAGTATCAATGCTGCACCAACGATAGAGGCAAGTCCTCCGAATGCTGCTCGGGATTCTTTGCGAGCTCTTCTGCTTCTTACTCTTTTCGCCTTGACCTTCGCTTCAGCCATGGCACGTATGCACACAATTATTTTTATTTGTTTTAGTTTTGAAATCAGCTATAAAATTTTTCTCAATTTTCAGTTAGCAACTGTCTTACGTGGTGAATGGGCCAGAAATCACATAGCAAGCTTCATATCTTGCATAGGAGGTGGTGTATTTCTCGCAACCTGTTTGTTGGATTTATTGCCAGGTTAGTCACTCTTTTTATATCTTCTGACTTTTTGTTCATTTCTTAGCTATTTAATTTCAATCGGGTATCTTTCAGAAGCATTGGAATCGTACGAGAAGGCAGGATTTGAGTCCAACTTTCCTGTAGCTGAAGCTGCTGTTGCTGGAGGGTTGTTAATGGTTTTGGCAATAGAGCAAGTGAGCCTAAGTACTTATGTTCATAATTCACTTTCTTGGAACAGTTGTAGAAGATTAATGCGTCTCTTCCATTGAATTACGTTCTCGTATCTCCAATTTTTTCACTAGGTAGTTCTGGAAATGCAAGATCGGGGGTACCTTGTCTCGGGCCATCTCCATTCGCACAACAACGAAGATGACAGGCAGGTAAAAGAAGCGGAAAAAAATTCGTTTATGCTTAGTTTTTTCCTATTGGTCATTTTCTTTATTTTCGTTTCTTTAGCTACTTGCTCATTCCTCATCCGTTACGCATGAGGAAGACACCAACCCTACATTAGGTGTCTGCCTTCTTGTCTTGGCGTTATCTCTACATGCTTTATTCGAAGGACTTTCTTTAGCAGTTATAACGGATGCTACAAAGTTGTTAGAGGTTGCCATCAAGCTGATTTCTCGTTTTTGGCTTTCACTCGAATGTTTTTTT